CTGATTTATGTTCAACGTGCAAGCTCGCAGTGTCGGGCCTTCTTGCGGATCAGCAGGTCACATGCTTTACTTCCTGCAGGATGTGTGCCAAACTTTCTGCATTCCTGTAGAAACTCTGTCCTGTTCAGACGTCACCGGCCTGGGTTTGTCTTGAACTCACATCTTCATCAGACTGTGGACAAGCTCCTCTGAGAGCCGACCTGACCTCCAGCAGCAGTGCATCAGGCCTGAAGGTGAAGACTTTTAGGTCAAAGACTCTGGGCTCAGGCAGATGCCAAGATAACAGTCACGACCCCTCCAGAGAAGGTAAATCCACGACCGTTGTGATTAATATTCAGATTAATATTAATTAATATAAATTAATTTTAAAAGTATTTGGACTGTGCCACGTGTTAACAGATAAAATCATTAGCTGCAGCCTCTGTGGCAGAAACAGTGATAAATTGTTGTAAAACCTGGAGAACAGCAGGTGTCCTGGAGCTTCTGACTGTGTCAGATCAGTCTTCTGTGTTGAAATCTGGACACAGTTCTACGAGTGGACCTGCTGATGAAAACCATGTGAAGCGATGGAAAGCTCCAGTAGGCAGGCTTGGCCTTGATGTGACTGCTGGCGATGCAGTTTCCATGTGTTTCTTTTCAGAGACTCATTGGAACAAGGTGTGTTATGCAAACAAAGGGTTTGATTTGTGTTGGGGGTTAGGGCAGCCTCCAAAACTCAGTCCCCTCCAGAGAGGGAGGCCAACGGGCAGAGTAAACACCGAGTGAAATGGGACTTGGTGACGGCACGCTGGGTATCAGCCGGAGGAGGGAGGTTCCTGTCTGAGGCGGAGAGTTTCTGACTATAACGCTGACTGATGGTTGGCTGGAGGTGTTCGTCTCAGTGTTCAGGCTGCTTGGTCATGGCAGCATCTGTCACTGGTGGTGTTGAGTCCCGCTGTGATCACGTTGTAGGTCTTTGTGGTGGCTTTGTCTCAGGTTGCTAAAACGAGAAAGGTGTTACCGTCTGTTTCCAGTATTGTACTGCCTGGTGTATGAGAGCAGCTGGATTTAACCTCACCTTTGAATAACAACAGCTTATTGTTCAGCTACAAAGTGAAAACATGCATTGAATTTTGAGAGAACAGAACGCTTCCAGACCCGCTCACACACCCCTCGCTGCCTGTACTGAAGGCACCTGGTGGGCGAGATAACTGGCTGATGGAAAACGTATTTTCATACATGCAGAGGTGGAAAATCCTAAATAAACTGAAAACACCAGAGTGTAGTCCAGTGGCCTGAAGCAGACACTTAAGCACTTCCTGTTGTTGTGTTCTCCAGGGTGTGTGGACCTCAGGTTCAGCTCCCTGCTTCCATTGGAACGTAGAACTGAAACAGCCTGCTGGGAGGTTGGTCCTGTTCCACTGTAGTGAGCTAACTGGGATGCCGGCGTGGTCGCCCCCATTTCAGTTCAGCCTACATTAGCTTAACATGCAGCCGTTTGACTGTAAAGTGTAGATCGGCTTTTACAGATAGCTGTGTGCACAGTAGATCCACAACGACCACGAGGAGAGACGCCGCCCAGCTGCACCCGTGATGGAGACTTTAGGTCAGTCTTAGAGAAACGGGACTCTGTGGTCCAGTGTCTCACTGTGTGTGTTGTGTTTTCAGTTTCTGAAGCCCAGGGCGATGACTTCACACCAGCTCCAGACTACGACTCTGACTACAACGCCACCTTCGACTACAGTTTCTACAGTAAGTCGCACACAGGTGTTGGTCTCTGTGCACATCTGTGCCTGTCACAGTGTATATGGCAGTGCTGACAGTGGCAGCAGGCCTGCTGGGAGCAGCCTGTCTTTGGTGGGTTGTTTGAACTTGTCTGTGGCGTTTACAGGCAACACCAGCAGCGAGGACCTGGACAGGTTCAGTGAACAATTCATGGACCATAAGGAAGAGGAAGTGACTGTTACCACAGCAACAGAAGGAAGCACAGAGAGGGGCAATGCCAATGTTCATGATACTGCATCACTTCCTGTGTGTCTGGTAAGATTTTAAACAAAGCTTTTTATTCCCTTATGGTTCTTAGGCAACAGGAGTCTATTGTTCAGTGTAGGTGTTTTTAAATTGGTTGTATTGTTGATTATTGTATTTATGGTTTTGATTGTTTAAATGTTTAATGTTTTTGATTTGTATTGAAACTTATGTATTGACAACATGTGTTGTTGACCTCTTGGCCAGGTCTCCCTTGTAAAAGAGATTGTGATCTCAATGGGTTTTTACCTGGTTAAATAAAGAGAAGTAAGAACAGATCCACTGAACATTATGGGCTCCGTTTAAACAGGAGCATCCTGACATCCATCAAAAAGCAGGTACAGCAGCCCTCAGTGTGGGCCTTTAACCAACATTAAAAATGGGGTGTGGCCCCAGAAGGGCAGCGTCAGACGGTGCAGAGGTCTCCCTGAAGACTTGCGTTAATCAGAGCCACTAAGCTCTGTGATGATTTGTCATGAATCGGCACTACAGCGAACACTGTCCTCCCGCTGACCTGTGACACATCAGGAGATGATTCATTGACCACAAATGAAAAAAAAGAGGCCTTTATAAAACAAGCCTCATCAGAGAGCGCAGCCTGGGGGCTTAGGGACACACACACACTGTTGTTTCTGTCACTTCAGACGACATTACACTGACTTCAGTTTGTTTCCTGAAGATTTTCCTTAATCTAACTTTACATCGGGGCTCAATACTAATACTCGTGTTTTGTCCCATAAGGACGGTGAGTTCCACAACATGAGTGAGACACACACACTGAACATTACATCCGCTGCTCACTTCTAACCTCAGCATCATGTGATCAGAGGAGCTGATAGTGTGTTTGGTGTGTGCAGGAAATCTGGTCACTCGTCTGGATTCTGATGCTGAACCTGCAGCAAGACTGAGACGCACACTCGGCAGGTGACACACACACACCTGGGTTAATGGAGGTGGAGGAAGTACTCAGATCCTTTACTGAAGTAAAAGTACCACACTGTAAAAATACTCCACTACAAGTACTCGATTTAAAACATTACTTCTGTAAAAGTACAAACGTATTCTCAGTGTACTTAAAATGTAAAGTAGTTGTGTGTCTTCTAGTTGTACAGGATATTACTGCAGTGTTCATGTGTATGTTGCATTTGACCATGGAGCCGAGTAACTACTGACTCTGCAGCTGTGTGGGTGTGCATGCATGCAGCAGCCTGCTTTCAGCCGACTGACAGTCTAATCTAAAACTACATGAGAATCTGTTCTGAAGAACACCCAGTTTAAAAGCCAGCAGCTCATTCAGGTAGATGAGGTTTTCACTGTACAGTAACTAAAAGTACGGCGTTTCTCTATGAAACACAGTCAAGTAGCTCAGGTGTGTCCTTGGGTCCAGGACAGGGAGACTGGGCTCTGTGTGTCTCCTGTGCATGGCGACGAGCGTCTCCGACCAGACTCCTTATTGATAGCGGTGTATTTGTAGCAGTAGGAGTCTGACATCAGAGGAAAGTCGCACACTTTCCACAGCACATGTCAAAGTGGACCACTGTTTTGTCTGTGTTGTCACACAGTCTGAGCTCAAGATCCATTTAGTAGCTGGAGCTTTCTGTTGCACGCCATGATTTTCATCAGCACCAGTCCTGTGAACAGATGTTACAATATCACACTCTCAGTCTGGAGATTGGGCAGCACTGTTGGCTAGACAAGACCGCATCGTGTGGTGCAGCGCTGAACCGGCTGCTCATGCTTTACCTCACTGATGGGAAGTTTCATTTCCGCTGCAGGGTCAGGAACCTGATGTGATGTGGGAAAATGTCATGTTTTAGATTTAGGACTAAAAAAAGACCCAAAACAGACCGTCTGCTTTTTGGGCTTTTAGCGACAGTGTGTGAACGTTTATCCCGTTTCTGGACATGTTTTTAATGTTCCTCATCTGTTACTGTTCATGTGCTTTTGGACATTTTGGGTCTGTTTTTGAAAGGTTTTGAATCTGTTGTGGTTTTTCTTGAACATCCTGCCTCTCTCTGGCCTTTTTATGTCTTTTTGTGCATTGTTCCTCTTTTTGGAAGATTTTTATTTTGTTTTCATTGTGTTTTTATGTTTCTCATTTGTTTTAGCATGTTTTGCATCTGACTTGGCCTTGTTACATCTGTTTATACATTTTGTACATTCAGACAAAGCAACCAAACCCTCCAGATAAAAATGTGTAAAACACAGGCAAAGTACTGTATATAAAACTGCCACTGAAAGACCAAAAACTGATGAGAAACATTAAAAACACAGGCTAAATGTCCCAGACCCAACTTTCTGAATGAACAAGAGGTTTTGTCAGGACAACGTTTTTCTGCTCTTACTGATCAGGAGCCTAGTTAAGTCTCAATCACTAATCAATAGTCATCTCTCCTGTGCTTTTCAGGTTTCATTGGGTGTGTTTGATCAAGCAGACACCAGCAAGGTGGGACACATGACCTCTGACCTCAGGACGCGTGGGACCAGCTCAGCCAATCACAGCCCTTTATCGGCGCCTCCAGTGATCAGTTTAATAGTGATGGGAAATTCGGATCATTTTACTGATTCGGTTCTTTGCATCTCATTCAGCAAAATGAACGAATCTTTTTTTGAGTCATTTCGTTCACTTCAGCAGAATGTAATTAAAATGTTACATGTTAATTCCCCATCTACTTATGCACATATTGATCACGTTTCGAATAAGAAAAAACTGTAATGCAGCCAAGGCCATATTATAAGTAATATCGTACCTGTGTCCTGAGGCTATGCAGTCTGTTACTTCATCACCTCACCTCCGGATATTTTGGGTCAAATTTGTTTGGTCTTTTGTCACCTAACATCTTATATAGTATACAAAAAGATTTTCCCTGATGAAGTTTAAAGCATTAACCAACTCTTTATTAAAACATTCACTGTTATGGAAAAGAACCATATTGACAGATATTCACAAAATTATAGTCTGTAGGAAATAAAAAGCTATTTTATAATAAAAATAAATGCATCACGTAACAGTAAGAGTAAAAAAACTGTAAGTACGGTTGAAAATTAACTAATTTATGTATTCAACAAAGCGGTCATGTCACGTTACAAAAACGACTCGAAACCGAGGACTCGAAAGGTGTACTCAGCTTATGCGATGGTGCGCATGCGCGGTCAACAAAATGAACGAATCATTCGAGGCTCGTCACGGGCTCCCCCACAGGACATCACTCCACACTGACAAATGTTGAGCTGAACTACATGAAGATTAAAACTTTATATTCTGGGCTCGTGTAGTTGTGTCAATGCTGAGCTTCTGTCCAGACAAAGAGGTGTCAGTGTGTGCTGTGACTACACAGTGCCCCCTGACATCCGCTGTCAGATACACCTGGTTGTTATAACTCTGGAAGCAGAGTCTGTTTCTCTGATGGACCGAACCCGGTTTCTCACTGCAGCCATGGATCTGAAGAGCCAACCCGAATGTCAGCAGGGCCGCTGGTAACACCTGCTCTACTTTCCACCACCAGACATTTCACTTCCGTTTTTACGGGTTAAACTCTACATTTACTCTACATCCCATCAAAATAAAAGTTCTGAGAAATGTTGCTACATTTATCTGGTCAAAGCTGAGTTATGACGTTTTTTAACAAGTTTGTGTCAAAGCTGTTATGGGGCAGATAAAATGTTGTTTATTATTAGGATAATGTTTAAAACAAGCTTTAAACTATAAACAGGTGTTTTATGAAAGTGCAGCGACTTTCAGAACAACCTACAAACTTTTACTGTCACTAAACTGTTGAACGTGTGTTTTACAGGTGTTTTTGTTCTGCAAACATCAAGTAAACCTGCTTGATGACTGTTTGTACTGCCTCACGTCCTGTGTTAAGTACTTGGTAACCTTCAGCACAACTGTGAAACAACAAACTGTTGTTTCACAGCCTGAAATGGAAACAACAAAAACTAAAAACAAAATGCATCTTTATTTACTCGGTGCAGTTTACAACAAATAAGTGAAAGGAAAAATATTAGCACCTCTAAAACATAAACTGGAATCATCTGACTTTTGAACAACACCGCTGCTGCTAGGATACGGTAAAACCCTACCGCCAGCACCTCGTTGCTAGGATACAGTGGCCCGCGACGCTATTGCTGTGGATCAGAGGACAGGTTTGTTGAGTTTGTCACGGTATCCGGTAAGAGGCCGACAGGATGGAGATCGTCCACGTTTACACGAAGCTCCGCGGGGAGTTCGGCCGGCAGTGCCTCTTCTCTGACCGGCCTGCTGAGCTGATGGTCGACATCCCCGCGGACCCGAGTCTGGCTCTGCAGTTCATCCAGAAAACCCCGAGAGACCAGGCCCTGCAGGCCTGCCGGGACATGTCCGAGCACCAGGTGGGGTTTAGTCCCAGTACGTCACATTACGTTATGAAGGGTGGACTGCGTCACCGTTGGTGGCGATAGGTTAATGTAGCAATTCAGTAACACGAAGAAGAGGAAGAGGCGTTAACTACAGCGCCAGGAGGTCAGCGTTACATTTTTGTAATAATCCTTAAAATAGTTTGTCCTACTTTAGCTATGACACGACGATGCATGCACAGGGTGCGGTTTCATGGTCACATGACGTCACATGGCGTTCACAGATGGAAGCGGACCTTTTCGAGTCAGTACAGCTCTCAGTGAAGCTGTGGGCCCCTGGAGCAGTCTGGGTTAGGGTTTGCAGTCCATGGTGGCTGCAGGGACAGCAAGAGCCCATTCAGCCGGCGTCTGGGTTTAGATTATAGGCAGAGGCAGGGCCGATTTAACGTGCCAGGGGTCCGGGACCGACGGGTCCTGTTGGATTCTGGCTGAGCATTTCATTCTGCACCCCAGGAAACTGTGTTGAGCTTCTGTGAGCTTGTGGGTCAGTGTGACTTTATTCAGGAATGTGCACCATATTTGCACAGTATACACAAAAATAATAAAGAACTTAAAACTGTGTCTGACAGCGATCCGCGGCCACAGGGCACTGGGTCCTAGTGTGTTCTCTTAACAGATGTGGAGTTTGTGTGTTTTTGTAGACGTTTGTTGTGTGTGGTACCACTAATTAAAACAATACAGTTAGCTTATACTAATAACTTCCTGGGTGTCAATATAACATCAGTTAATCTGGAAATAGGAAGAAAACTTTTGTATGAACTTTACAACACCAGTCAGACAAACAAGACGTCTGTTTGCTGACGTGCTGTCTTCTAGTCTAAGTATGTGAATGTAAAGCAGACTTATGCCTGACTCTGGAGTAAACTAGTCAACAAAATCATCGAGTCAGTCTGTAACCAATCAGAGCAGCTGATTGGCTGCTGACGCGCGCGATGTCCAAATAATTAAGTCCAGTAAATGATTAACACCAACTGAAGTGCAGTGAAGCTCGGGCCTGATTTTTTAACTGAAACTCTTCATGTTCTGTGTGACTATACATGTCTCTCGTCTTTTTTTAGGTACGCCTGTACAGTAGTAGTGTTCAGCACAGTCAGTGATGGTGTACCTAATATTCTTACAGCCTCATGTAAGCAAACAGGGATAATAAACTCTAACAGCTCTCAGGATGAGGAGTCCAGTACTAGAGCACATTTATCTGGGTCAGAACGGTTGTTTTCTGCTCAGCACCTACTAGTGTGGACACTGGGTACCAGTCTGGGTAGGAAAACAACAAATATTTTAGAATAATTTAGTTTTCATCATTTTGGAAACCAACTTAACACAGAATCAGGAGTCAAGCTCGAGGTGCCAGTTGTGTGACTGATGCTGTTTGCGTGTGCAGGTGAACACGGAGCGCTTTGAGTCGGAGAGCTGTGGGATAAACCACGTGCAGGGGGGATGGCCCAAAGACGTCGACCCTGAGGAGATGGAACAGACCATCCGCTTCAGGAAGAAGGTGGAGAAAGACGAGAGCTACGTCAACAGCATCCTGCAGCTGGGCAGCGTAAGAGCCACTGTCCACGTGGATCCGCATCACCCCGGTCCACAGCGGCACACTTTACCTCTGACCAATGTAGTCCCCCTGTGTTTGAGTCCGAGTCCCCACAGAATGATCTGAGTCAGAGTCATCAAGGTCTACATTAAACCCAGCTCTCACCGTTTTATTTCCAAACGTTCTGACAGTATTTAGCAGAGGTCACGCTGGACCTTCTCATTAATAGGTCATAAACATTCTGCCATAATTTATTACCCCTCAATTTCCAATTTTAATGATAAGACATATTTAATAGCATTTACCTTTTATTCATTCTATTTCATCGTTTTAAATAATATACTGAGCAAACTAATGTGCAGCCACTTTTCATATCAGCACCACATAAAGCAGATGACTTCTTCATTGCAAGTTTGCTAAATTAGACAATTACCATTAAAAAATGAGCAACCCATTCACATGGAGCTGGGTTAACTGACCTGAGCTCACCTGAGCTGCTGTAGCCTGCTGCACAGGCCACTGTAAACATCTGGATCTGAAAGCTGAACCCGCTTTGCTGCTGCACAGGAGACTGGTCATGCCAGCTTCAGCCACAGTTTTGAAACTTGGAAACATTTCTCTCTGGAAGTGATTAGAAGTTCCTCTGAACGTTAGATTTCCTGATCCTGACACGTTCACTTCACCAGGAGGACTCCATTGCCCCCTCTCTGTGATCCGTAGTGGTCACAGAGGTGCTCCATGGGCTCCGGTCCGTGGCTCTTCATCAGGCCGTCAGCTCCCAGATAGTGAGTTGCACTGAGCAGGTCTCAGTTCATCCATCGCATCAGTTTCTCTTCTTTCACCACATTTATCAACACCACAGGAACTATTTGGGTTTTTAGTGGCTCATACTTTAAGTTAGTTTTGATCACCCTCTGTGCTCTAATCTGCCAAAATGATGGACAATGTTCAGATGTTTTTTGTCATTAATAAAAACAATTCTGTCAACTACAGAAAATATTCGGTTAAGGGAACCTCCTGTTTATTGCGTCACCATGCTGCTCTGCAATTTGATACATAAAAATCATTCATAGAAGGGTGGAGGGTACGCTTGGTGGAAGTGGATACCGCGGAGTCAGCGTGGAGTGAATGAAGAGGTTTTCATATCAATATCTTATGTCAAATTATTATAGCCTGTTACAAAAAAGAAAGAAATCAAGTGTCCAGCCTTTGAGTCTGAATGCAGTCAGTGCTCGATTCCCTGTCTACTTCCACACAAGCTGCTGTAAAGTTGTAGTTCTTTCTTTGTTTTGATGAAGTTTTACTTTGAAAAGAAGATGGAGCTAGCATTTAGTGTGACTGTGACCACACCCTCAGCGGTGATGTCACCATGCTCTCTGTGTGGTCCAGGTCATGGAGCACTGCATCAGGCAGAACAACGCTGTGGACATCTACCAGGAGTACTTTGAGAAGGAGGAGGAGGTGGAGGAAAGTCAGGAGCCACCGTCTGCCAAGACCATCAACATCTTCAGGTGCAGCTGACAAAAAAAACTGACTGACACACCCTCTGACAGACTGATCAGAGTGATTGATTGTTAGTTGTACTTCCTCTCCTGTGTGTCTGCAGGGATCCTAATGAGGTAAAGCGCACAGTCACTGGTCTGTCCTGGCATCCGGACTGTGGCAGGAAGCTGGCGGCTGCTTACTCCTGCCTTGACTTCCAGAAAACCAACAAAGATATGAGCCTGGACTCCTACATCTGGGATGTGGGTGGGTTGGAAAAACAAACAGCAGCTGGATTTAAAAGCTGCACAGAGTCCAGTTTGTTCACACCTGGATGTTTTATGTTTCAGAGAACCCAAACAGACCAGAAATGACCCTGAAGCCAGCGTCTCCACTCGTCTGTCTGGACTACAACCCCAAAGACTCCCATACTCTTGTGGGAGGCAGCTACAACGGACAGATCGGTGGGTTCAGGTCCGGACAGATGGACAGGAGATTTTCTGTGTGTGCTGGGGTTTGTTAACCTGTGGGTGTGTTTGTTTTAGCATACTGGGACACCCGTAGAGGCAGCCAGCCAGTGGAGCTTTCCTCTTTGGAGCAGAGCCACAGAGACCCAGTCTACAAGATCATCTGGCTGCAGTCCAAGACCGGGACAGATGCCTTCTCTGCCTCAACCGATGGACAGGTAATCTGATGACTGCATCATTATATCAGGCTGAAGAGCAAGGAAGCCCTTTAATAATCCTTCTGCAGAAAGTGTTTTAAAATTTCAAATTTCCCTGTTTTGTCTGTCAGGTTCTTTGGTGGGACGTCCGCAAGTTGAACGAGCCCACCGAGCGTCTGGTTTTGGACCCAGGCAGGGAGGGGAACTTGGACCGAGCTTTAGGAGCCATCTCTCTTGAGTTTGAGCCCACCATGGTGAGTTTGTATCTGTTGTTGTGGTTTCTAGCTCCATTGCATTCATTTGGAGTGTTGCTGGTATCATTATTAGTTTAAAAGTTATTCAAGAAAAACAACAGACATGACCTGCTCAGACTGTTTTTCTAACAAACCTGGTAACTGCATCTGCTGACATGTTATCTTTCTGTCTGATCTGATCTGAAGTCAGTTGGTTATTGTTCAGTTCTGTCGTTAGTTTGTCCTCCATGGTTCAGTTCCAGCAGTGGTCAACAGTGACTGGCTGGGCCCAGAAACATTCAGCACAGTTCAGGTCAAAGTTCAGCTAGTCTGCGGCCGATGTTCTGCTCCTGTTCTATCCTGATCTTACAGCCTCAGTGTGTCTGTGTCCTTGATGTCTCTCCAGCCGACTAAGTTCATGGTGGGGACAGAGCAGGGCGTGGTCGTCTCCTGTAACCGGAAAGCCAAGACTCCATCTGAGAAGATTGTTTGTACGTACGATGGTCACCATGGACCTGTCTACGCTCTGCAGAGGAACCCCTTCTTCCCCAAAAACTTCCTCACTGTGGGGGACTGGACAGCCCGAATCTGGTCTGAGGACATCAAGGAGTCATCCATCATGTGGACCAAGTAGGAGTCAGACGCTCTCTCTCTCTGCTCGATTAGGCTTCAGCTCACTTCAAACCAGATTTTGACCCGTGAGTTTTGTCTGCTCAGGTATCAGATGTCATACCTGATGGATGCCTGCTGGAGTCCAGTCAGACCCTCTGTCTTCTTCACTGTAAAGACGGATGGTGTTCTGGATGTCTGGGATGTCCTGTTCAAACAGAATGAGCCCACGCTCCGCCTCAAGGTGCTCCAATCTCTTCTGTAAAAACAAAAGCATTGTTGTCTGTTGATAATATTAATAATGGTGGTGCTGTCTCTTGTCCTCAGGTGTGTGACAAGGCTCTCTACAGCCTTCGTGTTCAGGATAATGGACGTTTGGTGGCATGTGGGTCCAAGCAGGGCGAAGCTACGCTGCTGGAGATCTGCTCCGGACTGTCGACGATCCAGAAGAACGAGAAGAGTCTGTTGGCCGCTGTAAGAACCATGGAAATGCGTACTCATCTGAGATCTGATCAGTAACTGCATGATTGATTGCCAGATCTAGAGTGGGTATTTTTGCAGCAGGTCCAGAGAAAGGCCAGTGGAGAAAAGGAAGGTTCAGAGAAGGCTGCTCAAGCTCTGGGCAAATTTCAAATCAAATGTACTTTGCACTAATCGGTTCCTTCTGAAATGTTGGTCCCCTGACTCATCTAGCAGGTGGTAGTGGTCCATTGACAGTCTCCTCTCCCAGACATGAAGTGGTCCTTTAAAGAAAGAGGAAAACAACATGATTTAATACAAATAGTGAAGCTGATGTTGTATTGATCAGGACAGTTGTGTTACTGCAGTTGTAAACTGTGTCAAGGCCCACTTTGTGTAGGAGGCTGAACAGAGTCAATCACTCTGCTGTCTGTTAACAGATGTTTGAACGCGAGACAAAGCGAGAGAAGATCCTGGAGGCTCGACAGCGAGAGATTCGACTGAAGGAGAGGAGTCGATCGGAGCAGAGCCGAGAGGAGGAGGCAGGACGAGGGGATGGTGAGGAGAGTCCTGATCAGCTGATCGCCAGAGCTGAGAAGGACTTCTACAGTCTGGTGGAGACGGAGCTGAGGAGGCGCGAGGACGAGACTCAGCAGGTTAACGCTTCTCTCCTTATTTCTGTCTTTTTTTGGATATCAGAGACTTTCACATCACAAATAAACGACACTCTTACATTTTTCCTATCACTAATCATTTTTTTATTCAAGAAAGCAATGGGCAGCAAAAACAGAATATTCATGAAACTTGTAAAAGCTGAAATCTTGTTTTAAAGCCACTCTTCACTGTCTGGAAAACAATACTTATATAAAACCACAAATCTGTTTCAGCATTACGATTTCATACCATTTGTTTTGGCCTTAAAACAGTCAAGTGTAAAAACAGGGCTTAAAGTAGGCACAGAACAAAAGCTCCTACACAGGCTGCTGAACATTGTACTGTAATAGACTTGTGGTTTTCCTTCTTACTGAACGGACACAGTTTAAACCCACTTTGACTCATGAAGCTTTCAGCTTTAACAGCAGAATAAATGTAGACATGTTTCTGTTTTTCAGGAGAAAGGTGTCTGTGAAGAAAAAGAAGTGAAAGACGAAGCAGAAACTTCAGAAACGTTACAGTGAATAAAGGAATATTTATTCTTTGAATGCTGTAATAACTGTGGTTTCATTTGTTTGAGTCCGGATGATATGAAATGTTCAGCTACTGTTTATTTCAGTATTTTTATAGAACTTTTAAAAGAAGAAGAGCTTCACAGGAAGAAGAAAATAAAAAAACTGAAGACATCACAAAAGACAAAGTTATGAAGAAAGCAGCTGGTTTTTAAAGTTTTTTTTTTTTTTAATATGACTGAGGCTTTTTGGAAGATGTTCCTAATCCACAACAAAACCTCTGCCAACTTTAGCTTTGACACCCAGGGTCACTGATCGGTCATACGAATCTGATGTTAATTTTACCAAAACAGATTTCACACCTAGAGTGGAAATGTAGGTTTACTGAACCAGAGATGATGCAAAGGTTTTTAACATGGGGATAATAAATCTGACGGCCAATTTTTTTATTTTAATGTCAAAGGTGAAATTACAGGACAGAGTATTTTTGATACGGAATTCACACTGATGATTCATATGTTTAAATATGGCATGTTTTTACGCCGGATGTCCTTCCTGACGCAACCCTCTCTATTTATCCGGGCTTGGGACCGGCTCAGAAGTCACTGGCTTGCAACCCCTGTGGCTAGGTAGTTAGGTGGAAACAGATGATTCGCTGTGGTGACCCCTAACGGGAACAACCGAAATAAGAAGAAAAAGAGTATCTTTGATATGTATAAGATCACAAATAAATTACAACCTGAAAGTTTCCAAAACTGATTTAAAATAAAAGAAAGTGTATATGGTTTAAGAGTATACATTTGACTTTAATATACAGGACTGGTGTATTTGTGTTATGGATCAGTTGTAGGGAGAAAGTGAAAATATGAAGCACACTCAAAATTCAAAATAATTTTTAAAAAATATAAAAACTTCAAATTATATACTTTGGCATAAGTTTTGAGGCTTTAGAGAAATTTATTTTTGTGAAAAGGGCTGCTGCAATCCTCTGCAGCTTTCTACAGTAGAATACATAGATTAAATGCTATATATAATATAAACACAGTAATATAATAAAAACAGGTCCATAATATAAAATATGTCTCAGTTTTCAACTGACAGTTTTTAGACATTTTGTGTTGTTTCCCCACTGGTAATCTCACGTTCATTTAACATTTCAAATTAAGTGATTACTATTCTTTCATAAGTTTTCACTCGTTTTACATTTGTATAGAGACTTTTAATCTGGAGGATACCGGAAAACCTGCTGTTGCTAACGGAACCGGAACCTTATGTTAGCATCATTAGCTGTGCGCAGCAGTTGTTTCTCTTAGGAGCTTTTGGTTCTGTTCTTGCTCTCGATGTGAACATGTCCCGGGTACAGAAGCTCCGGGTCTTCGTCAGCCAGCGGTTGAACGCAGCTGTCGAAGAGATTTTGGCGGCTTTTGAAAAAACGATCGTTACTTATGAGCAGGAAGCGGCTCTGTGTCAGGAGGTGATCTCGCGCCAGCACGCGCTGCTCTGCGCGCTCCACAAACCGCTGGTGGAGGTTGCGGCCGCAAGTTGGGGGAGGACCTATTCAGCTAACGGGGTCTGACTTGACCTGTGCCAGGTGTGTCCTGTCACATCGGAAGCTACCCAGTTGTAAGTAGAAACGAAAGAGGTCCGTGTATGAGGTCGTTTCATTTTCACTGCAGAGAAAAAGAGATCCAGCTGTTCCTTAGACGCCCGGCTCTAACCAGCAGTCCGAAAAATACCAAATCCTCCGTGAGGTCTGGTGTCCAGTGGCAGAGCTGAGCCAGTTAAGCTAGTAAATCAACTGACCAGTATGTACCGATGAAAAGAGATGTGTAACACTCAAAACAAAGCGGGTAAATCCAACCGGTGGTCGCTGTGTCCTCCCCCACGCGACCACATACAGTCCCAAAGCAGTGAAGTTAATTCAGCAGGTAGCTGTAGCTCCGACAATAACATGAGTCGTTAACAGTAACATAGGTCGTTAATCCGCTGGCTAACCAGCAACACATCACATGCAGCAGACACACTGGCCTCAAGCAGTCAGGACAAACAAGTACTGTGCTCAGGGGGAATCCAGCGTTTATCAGCTGATCACTACCCACCACGGGGGCTTCACTGGCAGGCTGCTTGTAGGTTAGACCCAGTCAGGTAAAAGAGAAAGTTGCTGTACAGCAACATTCCCGGACATGCAGTAACCTCAGGCCCTGTATTTTCCCTTTTGAAGTTGATATTTATTGTTTGTGTTTCGCTGCAGACGCCTTCACACAGCAACTGATGATGAAGACAGGAGAGGTTCGCCCTGACCAAGAAGACCTGATCCAGGAACAAGAGGACTTGCAGCCATCGCATGTCAAGGTTGAACAGGAGGGAGAGCAGCTTCATGACCTGGACGAGGCCGACATCATTGAGTTCACCTACAATCCCAGGTGTTCAGTGAGGCCAAATGAGGACCGGTCAGCTGATGGGACTGCCCAGGTAGAACCAGGGTCAGCAGGTCCAGATCACGAACAGCTGGTGGTGTCATCTGAAACTGAAGACAGTGAAGACTACAGCAAAGACTCTGCTGGGCCCAGATCTGCTTCAGTCAAACTGAAACGAAAGAGGACTGGTAGAGCACGAGGACTCTTCAGCTGCCGGGTCTGCAGCCGGAAATTTAAAGCTCGCAGGCTTCTGTTCAGGCATGTTAAAGCTCACCTGCAGGAAGCGGAACAGGTCTGTGGTGTGTGTGGTGAACGATTCAAGACCTCCGATAGCTTGAATCTTCACATCCAGACTCATCGGACCACCAGGAATACAAGCGAACTGGAGAACCGGACCAGGACCCTGAGCCGAGAGAAAGGGGTTCACCAGATCTCAAACTGCAATACAAACGCCAAAATCCATGAGGACCAGAAACTGAACAGGTGTGATGACTGTGGGAAGACTTTTCTCCAGGTGTGGAAGAAGAAGAAGCACAGGTGTAGGCCCCGGAACCAAAACCAGGACCCAGAGAATCTGGAGAGACCTAAGAAGATGAGGCAGACCTAAAATATTGTTCTGGTTCAATCCAGCTCGAGTTTTATTTTGGTAGTTTTGTCGTTCCTCATTTCTACAACCTCTGAACAACAATTCAGACTGACTGTGGACATGTGACATCACTAAAGACAGGTCGACCTTTTCCCTTCAGACTCTTTGTTAAATGATTTACATTTTTATAATACACAAGGGAAAAAAGCAGAGACACTATGAATATTAAAGTCATAACATGACAAGAAAAAAGTTGCCTTCGTTTGGAGACAAAGGTTCCTAATACATAAATATTTTCAGACAAGCCATTTGTCATTATATGATAAAAATTATTAGAAAAAAGTTGTGGTGCTTTGAAAACATTAAAAACGATTTTCAAAATGTTTTGACGTTGTTCTTATAAATCTAAATGACTGTTTTCAGGTTTTTTATGACAATGTTTTTCTTGGGGAAAAAAGTAGTAATATGTCAAAATAGGAGGCTTTACTTTTTCTTCATCCTCAAAATAGACACTTTTTTTTCTCTTCTTACTTTTTGACTGTTTGACACAGTGTTAGGCCTTAAAATCTTCCGTTTGTCTGGTTTGTTAACTCTGCTCCTAAAACTCCATCACGAGAGTAAAAGGTCGAAACCCAGAAAAATACCGGAACCCAGGAAATGTTTTGTCGTGCTCTTGGGGGCGGGGGGGTTACCTGAGAGTTGGTGGTTGAACTAGTCGGTGCAGTAGAGACCCGGAGCCTTTCTCTGCCTTTACACACCAAACGCCTCAGTTTAATCCATCATCAGCTTTACTGCGACTGTTCACATCACGTGTTGTGATGCCAAGAGTCTTAAAGTGACATGTAGATAGGGGAATCCCTGAATCCACTGATCTGGCAGATCAATAATGAAAAGTTAGGTGTTGTCTTATCGATTACTGCTATGAATGTATTGATGGAGTTTCATATCAAAGCGTGGTAAGATTGATAATCCGCTGTTCACAGGATGACTAGCCTGTCTAAACGCTCCTGGGAAACTGTTGAGTAATGTGGAGATTAAACCATGAACACATCAGCGTTTCACCAGTCCCTGTCCTATAGAAGAACATGGGACGGGTTGTGTTAAGTCGTGATCGGATCCAGTGGGTCTTGAGCGTTTCTGACCTCGTGTTGGAAAGCTGAGCATCGGTCCGTCCTGGCTGCAGCTGTCCAGGCTAGACGCGTGCACCTGAAACGAGCCCATTACAGTAGCCGATAATACACTGTCCTATGGCCCCATTTATACTGTTGACATAAACACATGCTGCAGCGTGAGCGCGTCTGTTAACTAGGCAAATTGTTAGTATGTGGACCATTCATATTCACCAGGATCTCATAACCTGCTTTAATGTTACGTTTCACTGTAGATTAGTGAGGAGACATTAAACAGCCAAATGTTTAATGGAGTCTGGTTTCAATCATACCTCAGAGCGCGACATACTTCAGTGTCAAACTCCGAAAACGAGCTTAAACTAATGACGTAATTTACTAAATGATTTGAATTAGGTTTTCACATTAAGGTAGCACCAGTTAACGATCCTGGACGAAACAACTGGGTGTACACAACGTCTACGTGTACGCACAGACGCAATATTGGATCCCGGAAGTGTCCTGCACTGTTTACACTCCGTTCTTTGTTCCGTCAGGATGTCCAAAACTCGGTCCAAAAGCAGCGAGAACCGGAGCCTGAGAGCCGTGATCGACCAGAAGCTGGCAGCGGCCGCGGAGGAGATCTTCCTGCTGCTGAAGGAGCCCACACAGGCGGAGCTGGAGCGGCTGAAGGAGCTGGTGACGGAGCGGATCGCCGCGGCCGTGGATGAGATCTTCACCGCCCTCAAAGCGACCAGAGCGGCTGCGGGAGAACCGGAGGAGCCCATGCGGAGTCCGAGACCAGGACCCGGAGCAGTCAGGACAGGTCAGTGTCCGGACAACAGGCCGCAGCTGGGGCACACCACGGCCTTAATTCAGAGTTAGGTTTGTATATTTAATATCCCAAAGCTTTCAACCGCACGCGGACTTCTTCGGAATGGACAGCAGTTTGTACTGTGCAGCAAAACCTGCCTGTTGTGGCTTTGTCACTAATTTACACTGTGTAAGGACAGAAGGAAAGCTGAGCTTTAACCCGTTAACCTTTCTAAAGAGTTTGATTATTATCGTTCATCTACTGCACATAGGCTACTCGTGGTTTTAATCTGTAATATCTCTGAACATAGTGAATGTAATATGAAGTAATTTAGCTAATTCTTGCTCGGTTTTGGTCCAGTTTATGTCGGACATAACGCTGCCGTCCAAAGCATTCTAGTGAGAAGTTGTTAAACATCAACACAACTAGAAAAGCTGGAGTTTGATAGTTGAACAAGGTGTAACATGAAATTTCTCTTATTTCACGTACAACTCACGGTTACCTTATAACGTTATGTGGGTCACGTATGTAACAGTGAACGTGGTGTGATAACGACAGGAACATTAGTACTGCATCGGTGCTACTGGAGAAAACATTCCTCTATATAATTTACTTGTCTTACTGCAGACAAATCTGCTGCAAACAGCCATAGACATATGTATGCATGTTGCTAAAATGTAAAGCACTTTATTTGACACTGTGTTTCTGCAGTGCCACTGAAAACCACGGGCTCTGTGGGCTCTATGTTCCCTATATGTTAGCTCTGGAGCCGGTTATTACTGCTGCGCTGCCTGACTGCCACAACTGTCTCCAGCTGTCGTGACCACATATGGCATAGTTTCAGAGATGGGGCAGGAGGGGCGAAGAGGAGGGACACTGCTGGAGTTTGTTTTGATGCTCATTTCACCTTTAACAGTTGAAAATTAGAGAATGAAGTTAGTTAATGCAGCTTTAATGGTACAAACTTAGTATTACACGGTTTACTGATCGTCTTAGTCGACAGTTCGTCTGATCCAATGAGCAGCACTTGTTTTTGTGAACTCACAGTTTCCATTTATCAGGACGTAGATGTGACTTTTCTTCTGGGTTCATCTCTGATCACACAGTTCCTGGAGTAATCCATCATTTCTCCACTTTCAGGCTGGATCTTATTTAAAGTTCAGACAAAGTTTAACATCTGATGGTTTTGGCTTCTTTTTCTCTGAGGTTTTCAAAGGAATACATTTTTATGTTTCACAGAGTGCCTCAGCTTTCACATCAAAATCTGAACAGTTTCAAACAACATGTGGACATTAATCAATCAACAGAAACTTAATCAGTGGCCATTCTGATAATAGATTAAGTCATTAATTAACATTGGCCCAGTCCAGATATGCTTCTTTTCTTTGTGTTTCATGGTAATAATTTGCTATGGTTCAGACGTCACCTTGAGCTGGTGAAAAGTTTACAGATGTTTTTCACTTGTGTTTTAGACCAACGGACAAGTTGCTTGTTAACATATTTATATTCAGCAAAGTGAGGATTTAAACATGGTCTCAAATGTAACATGATTCAGATGAACTGCTTCAGCGTGGTAAACATGCTGTGTTGTTCTCTGCAGAGTTATGTCTGTCGGTCGGGCTCCGGAGCCGCTCTGATGAAAACTGCCTGAAGCCTGATGTCTCTGTGGATGAGCGACAGAAGGACCCTCTGCCTGGCACATCCTTCGGACCAGAGACCGTCTCTGAACCAGACCACAAACTGGCCTTGCTGGATGATCCAGGCGGCGAGGAGGAGAAAGATGATGAACTGGTGGCATCTCACTGCTGCAGAGTGTGTGGGAAGTCCTTCAACAGGAAAGGCTTTTTGATGAAACATGTGGAGAAGCACTTGAACGAAGCTGAGTGTCTGTGTGGTCTGTGTGGCGAGCGTTTGGAGTCCAGCAATGATCTGAAGTTGCACCTTCAAGCTCACTGCGACAGCAGCAGGACCTGCAACATCTGCGGCAAGAAGTTTCCCTCGATCCGAGCTCAGGAGACTCACCTGAGGCTGCACACCGGAGAGAAACCCTTCAGCTGCCACGTCTGCAGCAAAGGCTTCAACCAGAAGGGCAACATGGTGACGCACATGAGGATCCATATGGCGGAGAAGCCATTCAGGTGCACCATCTGCCCCAAAGAGTTCAGCCACACCGGCTCTCTGGAGCGACACATGAAGGCTCACGGCGGGCAGATGCCCTTCACCTGCAAAGTCTGTGGCAAAGGATTCGCTAAGACCACAGAGCTGAAGCGACACATCCAGAACCACATGTCTGATGACCAGCCTGACAACAAGAGCAAACGCAAGAAGCCGAGTCTGACTCCTTCTCACTGCTGCAAGGTCTGTGGGAACGCCTTCCACAATAAAGGTAACTTTGTGCGTCATGCTGAGTCTCATTTAAATGATGCTGACTGTCGCTGTGGCGTCTGCGGAGAGCAGTCAGAGTCCTCAGAGGGTCTGCAGCTCCACATCCAGAGCCACAGAGAGACTAGCAGGATCTGTGACATCTGTGGCATCAGCTTCAGGGACATGGAGATCCACATGAGGACACACACTGGCCAGAAGCCCTTCAGGTGCAAAGTCTGTGGGAAGGATTTCCCTAGGAAAGGTCCTTTGGAGCGACACATGAAGGTGCACAGTGGTGAGAGGCCATACATCTGCGAGTTTTGTGGGAAGACCTTCACTGAAAATATTGTCCTGAAGAGACATATCAAGAGCCACTTAGGTGGAAAACTACGGATTTACTCCTGTGACATCTGCAGCAAGAAGTTCACCATGACTCAACATCTGGATGTGCACAAGAGAATTCACACCGGGGAGAAACCTTACACCTGCAGAGTCTGTGGGAAGAGCTTTCGGCAGATCGGGAACATGGACTCCCACATGAGGATTCACACAGGAGAGAAGCCGTTCATCTGCAGCCTGTGTGGAAAGAGGTTTCGCCAGAAGATCTCGCTGGAGACGCATGAGAGGTTCCACAAAAAGGAGAAACCATTCAGCTGCCAGGTCTGCAGCAAAGGCTTCGTCCAGAAGATCGACCTGAAGAGGCACATGCTGACACACACTGGCGAAAAACCCTACAGCTGCCGAGTCTGTGGGAAGAGGTACCAGGAGAAACGCTCAGTGGACTCACACATGAAGGTCCACACCGGAGAACGAGCCACCAGAGATTCAGTTTTGACCCCAGAACTGAAGCGACAGGAAGTAGGTCACGCTGACTTCATCCAGTTGTGACAAACCGGCAGCATCACAACACCACCAAATCTTGTTCTGAAATGTTGTCTGTAAAGACCACTAATAGTTCCCAAAACTACTTGAGTCCTACTGAAGGAACTTTTAGTTCCTGGTCCCCAGCAGGTCCTGCTCTGGGGGAAAGTGCCAGCAGACCGTCTGCTGTAGAAACAGATGCTCTGCAGGTCTCTGGACTAACTTGCTGCAACTCTGTAGCTCTGCTTTTAGTTCCCAGTTCAGTTCCTGTGTTCCCACTGCAAGAACTTAACAAAAGCTGGAATGTGACTCGGTGCTGCGCAGTAGATTGCACCCTGACATTCAGGACTTTTTGGTCATTGCTCAGAGGGAGAAGACGTTTATGTGAATGTTCCTCATGGATTCGTTGAAAGAGACCAAGGTGATAGGTGTCACCTGTGAGCAAGAGGTAGAAATGAATGTGGATCCGCTGGGCCACTAAATCAGCGATCACATAGTTCTCGTCCAGATGTTCATGTGGATCCTGGTCTCTGTGGTCTGACACAGGAACAGTTCATATGTTTGATTAATAAGTGTGTTTAAAGGCAGAGATTCTGTCAGCAGTGTGCGAAGCGAACCCTTTACTCTGAGCCCGTAAATCAGCGAAACACAAGCATCTGGGCTGGTATCACTTTAACTGCGCGCTTTGTGTTTTCTAAGCTCCAGACTTGTTGGTTCAGTTTTGAAATAAAAAGATAACAGTTTGATTTTTATCAGTTTTTCAGATGTTTAACTGCAGCCTTTACTCAGTGATCACTTCCTGTCAGTTCACACTAAACCCTGAACTATAATTTCCTTTTCAGTGATGTTCTCAAACAGGTCACTGGTGTTTTCCTACAGAGGCTGAGTCTTTCTCTTCTGCTTCATGCAAGAAAATAAAACCCTCTCCTCTTCACCCTGTGAACTTCTGCTGCACTTATAAATAAGATGAAAAAAAGAAGACATCTGTAAATACTTTCTTAGTTTTATGGTTAGTGTATCAGAAAACAGAAAAAATGCCCCAGTGTCTTGTTTTGATTGAGGAACAGCCTGAAACAAAGACCATGATTCAAAGGAAAACATTTACACATGAGAAGCTGCAACCAGCAAATGACTGACTGTCTGAAAAATTACTGAAATGATAAACAGGAATAGACTAGTTAATGACTTTAATCGACTAGTTAATCACCTACTTGCTACAGCTGTAGACAAAAACGCAATAAACAGATGTGTGGTTCTGTGTGCGCAGATACCAGAGATGTTGCTGTGCGCAGTTGGATAGCATCAGGCTGTACACGTGTACCTAATGAAATGGACACTAAAACGTTCCTATAAAACTTTTTCATAGCCCAGCAAAATATAAAGTAATGAATCAGTAATTTGGTTTCAACAATATATGAAACATGTTTCTGAAATGTGCAATGATGAGTACTTTTACTTGTGGTACTTTATAAAGATATTTGGATGCTATTACTTCTTGTACTTTAACTTAAATGTATTAAAATTAAAATTATGAATGTACTTTCACAAAGATCGTCTATACAGCAGTGGAAGAAGTACTGAGATCCTTTACTGTAGAAATATTCTGTTAGAAGTCAAAGTCCTGCATTCAAAATGTTAACTATAAAAGTATTACCAACAAAATCTACTTGAAGTACTGACATAGCAGTAGTCATTCTGCAGAACAGACTGTTTCACAATAATGTGTATGATGATATATTGGATCATACTGACTGATGCCTTAGTGTGCTTATCACTAATATTGCTGCTGGTACAGGGGGAGCTGACTTAACTACCTTATGCTATCAAGTACATGCAGTGCAGTAAAAAGTACAATATTTGTCTCTGAAATGTAGTACATGTATAAAGTAGCAAAACATGGAGATACTCAAGGGAAGAACAGTACCTGAGAAGTCTATAGTTACATGCTTGTCGCCACCGTCCTGTGCTGTGATAAGAAACGGAGCGAACTTAAGATACAGTACATTTCCTTGACGAATTTGGGTCTGCTCCGTTTCTCCTCCGGTCCAGCAGAGGTCGCTGTTCGCTCTGCCGCTTCTTAGCGAAGTGTCGTCGACGCGGAAATCGGTGTCTCTGTTTACCTCCCCGCGGCTCTTTGTTCGCTCGCAGCTCAAAGTGCGCAGAAAGCAGGACGATGTGCGCCGTGCAGCTGCTGCGGGTCTCGGTCCTTGAGCGGATCAGCGCTGCCGCCGAAGACTTCCTGCTGCAGGTGGAGAAAGGAGAAGAAGCGGCGGAGATCCCGGTGCTGAGAGCGATGCTCGCCGAACGGCTAACGGCGGCTGCGGAGGAGATCGTCGCTCTGTTTGAGGAAACCGTGGCGGAGTACGAAGAGCGAGTGGAGCGGTCCGAGCGGGAGATCTGCCGCCAGAGGAGGCTGCTCGATACCGTGCTGAAGCCCGAAGTGCGGCTGCACAGAGCAGGTCAGTCCCCGCAGGACCCGAGCTTAGCACACATGCTCTTGCTAGTTAGCACAGACATGAAGGGCTTCACTGAACCGGAAACATTTTTTGAAATTTTAAGTCCAGACTGTGAAGCACACGGATGTAAACCACTGGACAGTGCGGTGGACTGAAATTATTACTACTTTAATGAAGCTAAACCAACGAATTAGCAGGCAACAACCACAACTCCCATGAGCTTTAATTGAAGCATCGCAAGCAAAGGCTCATGGGATTTTACCAGCAAACCAACAATTAATTGGTTTCCCTTTGTTAAAATAACTGTCTTATGATTCTAATAACCAATATCGACAGTCTGTAGATGATCTATGTAAATGATTACTTACAGTGGAGTTTCTGATTATCTTCACCATAAGTTACTCTGCTGCTGGTTAATAAACAGGGTTAGGGTTGGAGCATCTCTATATATCATCTCCTTGGTAATCCACAAATAAGCTGCCGTGCTGTTGGTTAGACTGGGTGCAGTCGTCTCTCCTGTCTTTAGGCATACCATCTCCATATTGCACCTGACCTCTGCTACCCGCTGATTCACTCAGCATAGCCTTTTCATTCCCTTGCTGAAAAAACTTCAGGCTATAACGACTCATTTGTTAGGGGACATTGTTGGCCATGAAAGGACTGAAACACCACTGATGGGGATAGTGCCAGTCGGGCAGAACTGATGACACCTCTTGGATGAGAGGTGAAACTTCTTCGACCTAAGAAATCTAGTCCAGTTGATTTTTTTTCATCTTACTATGACCTGGATGACTGAGAATCTGCATGGACATCTTTTCATTCCCTGTTTCACTTTGTGCATCTGCGTTGGTTATTGTGATTGTAGTGATAAATGTGTGTGGATCTAAAGGAGAATTTAATTTCTGGTGCTTTCCATCTCAGACACCCAGACGAATCCTCACCTGGCAAATCCTAGTGAAGATTATTGTTAATCATGACTTTGTCATATGGTTATTCCCTGGTGTTTGGCCCTATCTCAGAAAGACCTCTCTGGAGAGTTTTGTGCAGTCATGTGCCATAATCTCCCCTTTATTACATCACAGCTTCACAGATCCCTGCATCCCTGCAGTGGATCGCTTCACTTCGTGATCACCACATGGTGGACACACCTTTCAACTGCATTCTGAGTAAAAGTATATCAGTATATGTTTGCCAACCCCCACACAATACAAAATCTAACAATACAAAAAAAGCCTCATCAGCAAAAACCATTTTGAGTCAAACCCCTGATGTCAGCACCGAGCACATCATCAGAGACTCCTTCGGCCCGGTTGTTGAAAGAACTGCACTCTGATATGCGGTGGTAAAGAATGTCCTGGCTGCCTAAACTGAAAAGGTTACATTACATCAAATAGCTTCATGATTATTACTAAGACAGAAGTCACATAAAGAGCCTCAAGCGCTCAGTTCACACTCAGTTTTGTTAAAGGGCACAGCCGGTGATCATGTTTGTGTTATTTCCCACAAATCACAGTGTTTCTGCTGGTAACGTGGCAAAAACATCAATCCAACCAATCAGTCAATGAACCAAACACAGAGTGACTCACCAGGAAGCCCGTAGAACAAGGTGGCGAGTCGAATTTACAGGTGCAGTTAAGACTGGTTCACACTGAATGTGTTGTTAGACCCGTTTGTCACACAGCAGATTCTGTCAGCCATGTCTCTGACACCAGAGGAAGCCACGTCAGCCCTGGACCCGGCCTGTTTCACTTCAGGTCTGTTTTCTCTGGTGTGTTTAGTGAAGCATAATTTCCACAGTCAGTTGTTTAAACCACACAAATCCCCTGTTATTTCTGTAGCAAAGGGTTTTACTGGTATCTGTTATGACTATAAGCCTGTTCAGATCCTGATGTAACTTTGACCTTTATGGTTTCACTTTGCCTCACCCTCCCTAGGGTCCCACAAAAAAAAAAAAAAAACACAATAAAATGTCCCCCACAGGGACATTGCCCAGACAATGAACCTCTTGATCCACAGGAAGCACCAAATCCTGTCCAGAGACCAGCAGCACCAGTGAATGTGGTGTGAGTCCAGACCCTGGTTCAGCTTATCGCTCTGTGCCGTAGACTTCTGCTGTCCACCAGCTATTATCCTCCTCAGAAAACATGGGAGGCTGTCTGTTTCCAACACACAGCTGGGTCAGGGCTGAATTAACAAATCCAGGGGTCCTGAAAACTCCAGGCTCAGAGTGTGTGTACAATCAGGTTTGGAGTATGAGCCACTGAAGAGGCTGTAAACTGACATGATTTATTTTTACCTGATTGTTCCTCTCTGGTTTGTGCTTCCATGTTGCCATTTGAAAATAGGTTGTGTGTGTGTGTGTGTGTGTGTGTGGTTTAAATGTGTATGTGTCCCTTTAAAACACAAAAGTCTGACTCTGGGTGAATCTGAGAAATGACTTGTTAAAGTTTGATCTGTAGCAGCTTGGGATAATAATCATCAACTTATGTCTTCATAATGTGTGTTTCACTTTGGCCTGCAGACGTCCAGCAGCTGAACGAAGAAGAAGTTCCCCCTGAGCAGCAGGACTGGGGCCCCAGCCTGGACCAGCACCCAGCAGAGCCCCCACACATTAAGGAGGAACAGGAGGAACTGTGGACCAGTCAGGAGGGAGAGCAACTTCAGGGGCTGGAGGAGGCTGATGTCACCAGGTGCCCATTCACTCCCGTCCCTGTGAAGAGTGAAGATGATGAAGAGGAACCTCAGTCCTCACAGATTCATCAGAGCCATGTTGACAAGAACAGAGACTCTGAGGAAGGAGAGGACTGTGGAGAACCAGAGCCAGCCAGGAACCCAGGTCCAGATAGACTCCTAGAACCAGTTAGTGAAGACAATTCTCTTGACTCCAATCAAACTGATGACAGTGACTGTGATTGGACACAAACAAATGAAGCTCCACCAGGTATGGACATTGTTGACAACAGTGAAGGCCCTGATGTTGGGCCCTCAGTGAAGGAGCGACCCTTTCCTTGCTCCTACTGTGGTAAAAGATTCAGCCTGAAGGGAAATCTCAACAGACACATCAGAGACCACACAGGAGAGAGACCGTTTCCATGCACAGGCTGTGATAAATCGTTTAAAGACAGTGGATCATTAACGGCACACATGAGGTGTCACACTGGAGAGCAACCGTACAGCTGCCTGTTCTGTGGGAAGAACTTCAGCGGCAGGGGAAACATGACCAGACACATGAGGATCCACACGGGAGAGAAGCCATTTACCTGCTCAACATGCAATAAAAGTTTTCATGTCAAAGAACACCTCAACAGACACATGAAGTACCACACAGGGGAAAAGCCATTCAGTTGCTCTGTCTGTGGTAAAGGCTGTGCTCAGAAAACAGACTTGAAGAAACACATGAGGGTCCACACGGGGGAGAAACCATTCAGTTGTCCGTTCTGCGGAAAGTGCTGTGCTGAGAAAGGAGACTTGACCAAACACATGAGAGTCCACACAGGAGAGAAACCATTCAGTTGCAACATCTGTGGTAAAAGTTGTGCCCAGAAGGGGAGCCTGAAGATCCACATGAGAATCCACACAGGGGAGAAACCGTTCAGCTGCTCGGTTTGCAGCAAACGCTTCACTGTGACAGGACATCTGAAGAGGCACATGAAGCTGCACACAGCAGATGGTCAGGGCGCCGAGTCGGCACATACACACTCAGCCAAAGGGCACAGTGAAGCAGATCCTGAGCCGCTGAACACGTGACAGCCCATCTGTCAGCAGAAAGCTGGGGAAGGGAGTCACAGATGCAGACACAGCAAACTTCTTATATTCACGTCTTGTCGTCATTAGACTATTATCACTGCCATCAGTGATTTTCATTGATCAAAAATACATAAATTGTTAATCTAGAATAGTGAAACATGATCTAATATCCACAGTGTATACTGCGGTGGCCCCTTCCTTCAGAGCAGCTCGGCCCTCATCACGGCAGCTCTGCACCGATACACGTAGGAGAAAGGAAGATGTATGTGTAATATGGAAAAGAAAGAAAATATAGATGACAGACAGTGTGGTGGCTCAGTACTTAGCTCTGTGGTCCACTGCACAAAGGTCTGGGTCCACATCCACCTGAGAATCTGCAGAAGTCGGTAGCAATGGCAGTGGAGGAGTGAAAATGTGCTACATACATGTTGTCTTGCAAAGACCAAAAATAAAAGCCGACAACAGTGAGGAGCGCGAGGGGCAGAGAACCCCCTGGGGATAGTACAGAATAGTACAGGTGTGCAGAGTTATCAGCGTCACAGACTCATCCACCAGGCATGTGACCGGCCGACAGCGCTGTGGACCAAGCTGAACTGTGGTCTGTATTTACAGTGGGTACGGAAAGTATTCAGACCCCCTTAAATTTTTCACTCTTTGTTATATTGCAGCCATATGCTAAAATCATTTAAGTTCATTTTTTTCCTCATTAATGTACACACAGCACCCCATATTGACAG